AAAAAAACTATTTTTAATTACTTCTTAAATATTATATTGTTATTTTTATTTAAAATGACATTCTATCACCTCCAAAACTAGTTCATTCTATGTTACAATAATTATACAAACTCATACAATATATTAGACTTGATATATAATTACTTAATTAATAACTAACAAATTTATTATGTCCAATAACAATTGACTAAATAACTTTAAAGTTATTTTGAAGGTAGGTATAATTCTCATACGAGTAATATAAATGTCAAATTGAAATCCGTCGAAGGATGATTAGTTGATATTATAATAACAAATAAAAAATTAACATTCAATATATAGTAATTAAGTTGATCTAATTCTATACAATTTATAGCCTGTCGATGAAGCGCACTATACGAGGATGCGCCTAGGTGCACCATAGTAAGGTTTCATTCCAAAATCAATTGGTGACGAGAGAAGTAGCTCACTAACCATACAAGCTAAGTTCAATTTTCTTATTAAATCAACGTGAGACAGCTCACAAATGATGCTCCGACAAATTCTCTACAAATGCCATTATCAAGATTCAAAAGAGAACTTCACTTATAATAGTTAAAGACTTTATATCTCTAGGTGGGGTTTTGGCATCACATGAATCTTGCACTTATTGAAGAGGTCGTTGGTTTATTTCTCTTCTAGGAACCAAATAATTTCTCTAATTCATTTACAATATATTTTTATATTTTTGTTATTAAATAATAAAGTGAAAACAATAAGTAAATGTGGCAATATGGTTAGTGGGTCATACCATAGTACTGTTTTTATTCTCATAGAATTGAAGCCCAATTTGGACGCATACCCACCCGTGACTAACTCTCTTTCCCACCCCACAATTTCCACTACTTTTTAAAGTTAAATCAATTCACGGGCTACGAAATAGTGGGGTGATCACTAGTGTAAGTGGGGAGCCGAAGGGTGCACATTATTTTAGAGAAGAAAATTATCAAGCCTACATTCGGAACTATGTTCCGACTAATCTGTTGGTCG